AGTAGTAAAGTAAAAATATCAGAAAAATCTACTGGAGTACAGTAACGAAGTATTTGTACTTCGTTACTTCCCATCTCTACAAACTGGCCACAACCAAACTTGCTTGCGAACCTCCCGCCACAACAATCCCGCCCCCTTGATAATCGACCAATCACATTCACTTTATTCACTCGTGTAAAGTCGGGCACCACTGGGAGAATTGGGAAATGGAACGGCCGCTTCCCTACGACTTTAAGTCACTTCAGCCAAAAAATGCATTATGAAGACAAAAAAAATGTATACGTCGTACGGGACTAAAAGTCGCACCTTTTTGAACGGTTATTCTATCCATGGAATCCGTGTTCTTCTGGTCAAGTAGGCTGCTGATCGAAGACCGCATTGTTTTATTTCATTAACGCGCTAGCTGCCCTGTCGCCTAGTCTGCTTGTTTTAAATATCACCACCACTATCATTACGCGTTGTTGTTGTAATGCTAATCTGTTTTATTGTGGTAAGTTCTAAACTGTTTTTCGTTCTGTAGTATTACCGGTAATAGAAGACATGTATTAGTTGCTATGCGATAAGTATAAGTTGCATGGCAAGCCAAACCATGAAAAAAAAAGTGCGATTTATAATCCGAAAACTACGGTATGCTGCGTTAAAAACCAAAGCGTTAAGAACTTAGAGATCTGGGCTCTGGATCAAACTGTGGTCCAGCTGCTTTGCTGCTCGACGCTCTGGTCGTTCATCTGCTCTGTTCTGTAGCTTCAGCTAGACAGCAGATCGGCTTTATTTACTGTGTGAGATGGAAAAATAGATTTAACACGTTTTTATGTGACAAAGTCCACCTCCAAACATCAAGATTATAATCCCACTAAAATCTGCAGGTCTTGTTGGGAGCTCCAGACCTCCAGCAGACCGCCGGCGTTCTGTCAGATGAGCATACAGCCTGGAGAATCTGCCCAAAAAGGGCAAAAATTGACGAACAGCTTTATGCAAGAGCCGAATGCTTACTTTGTTAGGTGCTTTGAATAAAAGCTGCTAAATGTATACCGTATTTTCACGACTATAAGGCGCACTTAAACGTCTTTTTTTTCCCTCAAAATGTGCGGTGCGCCCTATGGTGCGGTGCGCCCTATGTGTGGTGTAACTGCGACTTTTGAGACCACCTCATTGAGGA